AATCTGTGGATCAATTTGAGGAGTATTGCCATCTTACCAGTATTAAGTTTTCTGATCCATAAATATGTGTTATCTTCTGATTTATTTATATCTTCTTTTTTAAAATAATGTCTCACAATTTGCAAATATAAGTTTTGCACTTTTCTTGTTAAATTTATTCTTTACTATTATGAATGGAATTGTTTTATCCATTTTTAGGATTGTAAATGGCAAGCATATAGAAATGTATTTATTTTTATATATATGTGTGTATATATATTTATTTTGTATCTTGAAACCTTGCCGAACTTTTGTGTCTTTTTGAAATATAATGTTATTCTTTGACCATTTCCTTACTTTCTAGCACAGTAACACATTGCAGTCTCATTGTATACTTTTTTGTCTTTTTCTGTCTTATCCCAGGATTTAGCCCTATATCCATGCATCCCTAGTTGGGTTTTGTAGACAATGATATTTAGAAATCAGCATCTGGGGCCAGCCAGGTGGCATGGTGATTAAGGTGGCTGGATCCCACGTGGCCACATGCATAGTTTGAGTCCTGGGCCTGGCTGCTTGTGCTCAGGGAGAAGAAATTGCAGCATGGGGATGATTTCTCACTTCTCTTTTTCCAGCAAACACATGCATCCTATCACAAACTGAAGAAAAACAGAAAGAAAGAAATCAGGATTTGGGCATTAATTGTATTCATTGCAATCAGATTTTAACTGTTCTTAACATCCTCTTAATAGGGAACTAGCAGTTAGCATAATGGCTATGTCGCTGGACTCCCACATAGTCAACTGCGGTTCGCGTCCCGGACCCGGTGGCTTAAAACTCACACCGGGCGCATGTGCGTGCATACCCAAGATCCCGAGAGGAGAAGGGAGGAGAAGGGATTGCGGCGTGGCCATCCCCCCGGGGGGTGATTTCTCACTTTCTATCTCTATGTCTCTGTCTGTCTGGTGAGTGCATGCACCCTATAGCAAAAACCTCTCCAAAAAAAAAAAAGTCCTCTTAATAAACAAAACTAGGGAAAATATTATGTATACATACATATACCCTCTTATATCTGTTCTGTTTTATTTCTGTAACTCTACTTTTTTCCTCCCTATCTAAATAGATAACCTCTAAAACTGTTTTGGTTCAGCAACACAGGATTTATTCTAGTTTGGTTTTTTGGGTTTTTTCTTTTTTTGCTCCTTTATAGGTTTATAACTCAGTGAGAGACATGATTCTCAATATGCTAAACATACTACTTATTCTCTCTATCTTCATAAGTAACTAATCTGATCTTTGTTGACACACTGCCCTCTGCAAGTGCCTTTCTCACATAAGTTACAACCCCTCAGTTTTTCACATTTATACATCTCTGAAATCAGATACATGTTAAAATTGATTGCCATAGGGCGGGCACCACCACGCCCAAAATTGATAGGATGTCATAAGTTTTATTGGCAGCATTCTTTATTTTTTCCTTGCTGTAGGGCACAGGTACTTGCTGGAAAGAGAGAGAGAGAAAGGGATAAATCACCTCCTGTGGGAATGGCTACACATCAGTCCTTCTCCATCCTCCTCTTGGGATTCTGGGCACACATGCACATCGTCCTGTTGTGGTCTTCAAGCCACCAGGTCTAGGACTTGAACTGCCGATTCAGCTATTTGAGATCTAGCTACCTTATCATCCACATCACCTGCTGGTCCATTAATTCTTTCTTAGTGCCCTATAAAGTGATGGTGTCTGTTACAGTTTATACTTGGCTTGCCTAAAGTTTAAATAAATAAATTTAAGAATTTGTATAACGTAAATTCCACTACTTTTGAGTGAGAAGAAATTTTCCTGGAATCATAACATGTCTGTATGTAGTGAAGGAAGTTTTTATTGTTAATCACATGACCAGAGTGGTGTAAGGTAGTATCCACCAAATACAGCAAGCATTTTACTGGCCAGCCCGTGATCTGATAGTTAAGGCAGCTGAATCCCACATGGCCAACCACAAAATTTGAGTCCTAGGCCCAGCAACTTGAAAAACATACCAGGTACATGTGTGTGTGCACCCAAAATCCCAAAAGGAGGGAGAATGGGAGAGAAGGGATTGTGACATGATCATGTGCCATAGTGAGTACTTTCTCACTTTGCCTCTCTCTGTCTTTCTCTGGTGAGTGCTTATATCCTCTGGCAAATTAAACAAAATAAAAAACCATTACTATATTAAAGAACTACTTCTGGATAGGATATTGATTATTTGCTTGTCTATTTTGCTATAGGGCCTGGGTGTTTGTCAGAGAGAGGGAGGGAGAGAAAGAAAGATAAAGCTCCCCTTGGGGGATGGCCACACTACAGTCCCTTCAGTTCCATTCTCCTTCAAGGTTTTGGGCATTCACACACATGTACCTAGCATGCTTTTCAAGCTACTGGGTATAGGACAACCACAGAGTTGGCCTTGTGGGATCCAGCCACTTGAACCTTCATGCCTTATGCGGTCTCACACTTCTGGATATTTTTAACAAAATGTTTCATTAATGTCTGCTAACCAGATAATCAATACTTCATAATTTTGTTTTCTTGGTATACTTGTTTTAATTGTCATTGACATAACTTGTCTTTTAAATTTGTATCTTATTCTCCAGACCTTACTCTTATAATATTTAAAATATTTTTATTCGTGGTCTTCTTTTTACTACCCCATAAGAATGAAGTATTTGTTGTATTTATAGGATCTTCGAAATCAACTCTATGAATCATACTATTTAAATTTTATTTCTGCTATTTCAAGAAGTAAACTGGAAGACATTGCAAATGCAGCATTAGCAGCCAGTGCAGTGACACAGGTAGCCAAGGTAAGAGTTTCGATTTTTGGTTGGTTGATGACATCGGTATCTTAATTTACTCATGATCAGAATGATTTAAGGAATGTTTAGACTCAATACTTCCAGAAAGAATTCTGATAATAATAATTATCTCCAGCTTGTACTAGGCAGAATAAGCAAATGGAAGAACCTACTACCAGAGAATTTCAAAACAATTCTTTGTAAAAAAGGAATTAAAATAAGACTTTATTTTGGTACAAAAAAACCATGAAATCGGTATGTAGTATTTTCATAATATGGATTTTCCACAAATGATCCGTTGTATTCAGTGAATTGGAAAGACAAAATATAAACAGCGAAATCAGTTTTGCTTTGACTGGGATCTGTATTGTTTTAGTGTGATTTTTTTTTTTTATTTGACAGTTGCATTGCCATAAATTATACCCAGAATATGTTAACCTTGTGTTATCTGTAATCACCATAGTTACCATACTTTCTCCAGTATTAAGTACTTTCTTACTTAGAAAAGGGAATCCAGAGAGGCTAGGTTGTATAAGAAAAAGTAATTTATACCAGGCCATTAATTCTATATCATACTGACTTTTTCGTCAGGTTCAGCTTGTTTTAAATAGACTTGTAAACTGTATTTCTGATGATAGCCCTGTTGTACCCTATGCTTCTTGAATTGTGTAAGATATAAGTGAAAATCCTAGAGAATTATATAGGACAAATAAGAATAAACAAACATGCATTTACTTTTTTCTCACTGGTAGATTTATATTTTATTCTTAACTTTAGATAGGCCATTGCTACTTCTTTTTGTTTGTGTGTATTTAAATATATATATATATATATTTTTTTTTTTTTTCAATGTGACAGAGATAGGAGACAAGGACTCCTGTCAGGACTTCTCCTCATAGCCAATCAGGATCCCAGGCACACCTGTGGGCACACTCAAAGTGTTCAGGTCGACCCAGGATCCAAACCCTGAACTTTCCCATTTGGCTGCAGTTTCATGCAGCAGTGGCCACTGCAGCTGGGCCTCTGCTGAAATTTCTGATAAGTTTGTTTTGTTTTATTTTAGGTTTTTGCCATAGGATGAATGTGCCTTCTGGGGGGAGGGGAGAGACAGAGGGAAAGTTAAAATTCATACCCCCCTCCCCCACCAGGGGGATGGCCACACCACAATCCCTTCTTCATTCTCCACCTAGAATTTTGGGAATTTATGCACACACACTTGGTGTGAGTGTCCTGCCACCAGGTCCTGGATTTGAACCGTGGTCGGCCATGTGGGAATTCAGGGCCTTAACCACCTTGCCACTTGTTGGCCCCCAGTTTAGCTTCTGAGGCTTACTTGTTAATGTTCCTGCTCAAAATTTAGCATTAATTTCAGGTAATATAATAGTAATTGTTTTCAAGTTGTTTAATCAAATTTAATGTATTGTAAATCATTTTCCTAATTTTCTCCTAATTAGTAAACTACCAAAAAACTATAATTTTCCCCACTTTATTTTTATCTTTTAGTTCTCTATAGGGTGCATGCACTCATCAGGAAGAGACAGAGAGAAAGTAGGAAATCGTGACCATGTTGCAGTCCCTTTTTTTCATTTATCCTCTTCAGATTTTGGTCACACACATCCAGTGTGTATTTCAAGCCGCCAAGTCCAGGACTTAAACTGCGTAGCCAACCATGCTTGATCCACCCATCTTAACCATTATGCCACTGGCTGACCCACTCCACTTTATTGATAAAAGTTCATGGCATAAAAATCATTATTGCTATTCTCATAAGAGAGTAATTAAAATGAGTATCAAAATTAAAATCCTGGTTTTTCTCAAAAGTGATTTTCATACCTATCACAACCACAGCTCTTCTACCTGCTTAAATTTTGTTTTCTGAAAAATGTCACTCCCCTCCTAGTATTTATTAGGTTGTTGGAAAAGTCATGATGCATTTTTTTCTGTTTTTCTATGCAAAAATGTGTAATGACTTTTCCAACAACCCAGTATTACCCAGAGAATTGTTTTTACTGCTTTTTGTTATCTTTACCTCTTCATTCTTGCCCAGTTAGGCAATCTGCTGCATAGTATAACTTTTCATTATTGAATGTAATCCTAATTTTGACACTTTAACCATTGGTAGATAAAATAGTCTATACTTACTTTAAATATGGCTATATTGTAAAATTGTTTTATAAACCTTTTGTTTCTAGGTTTTTGATCAGTATCTGAATTTTATTACTTTGGAAGATGACATGTTTGTATTATGTAATCAAAATAAGGAGCTTGTTTCATACCGTGGTATGTAATAGTACTATTACAATTCATTGTTGGCAAAATGCATGTTGTACTATTAGGTAAACATGTTCACTATTACTTTTCTTACTCCAGACTACCTTTGTTTATAACAGCACTGTAAAAGATTTTTTAAAACATGCAAAGAAAACAAGTCTGACTAAAATCTGTGTAATTCTGTGACCTTAAGTATCCCCACAAAAACTTGCATGAATGTTTCTCTCATTGCAAGTAAGGATGTTTTGGTTGTAGGATACAGTTAATTATCTAGCACTTTGAACTTGAACAAGAACAAATTACTTTTTTTCCTTGTGCTTATAAAACACTGGATCAAATGGAAGCTCCTGAGGGAGGAGAACATGAAATCTTTGGTTTCATTGAGCTCTGTAGCATACTTTCTTATTGATTTAAACAAAATTCCTAAAAGGATGTTAAGTATTTGCCTAAGTATTACATGCAATATATTTTTGAGGTGATTATTCACAGAAGTCTATTTACAGTTAATTTATAAATCTAACAAAAGCTGCACAAATATTTAAATTATTTTTAAAATTAAATTTGTTATGAATCTGTATTTTATTAAACATTACTTAAAAATTTAATTAAATTTTCTTTCTTTTATTTATTCATTTTTAAAATTTTTTTGCTAAAGGATATATATACTCGCCTGAGAGAGAGAGAGAAAGCATTTCCCCCCTCCAGGGGAAATGGCCACACCACAATCCTGTCTCCATTCTCTTGGGATTTGGGGCATGCATTCATGCACATGCATCCTGTGTGTTTTCAAGTCACTAGGATTCAAACTTTGCCATCGGGCATGTGGGATTCAGCTGCTTTAACTTCCATGCCATCTGCTGACCCTAATTAAATTGTGTTATACCTGTCGACATTTTTTAAAAGATCACAAGTCTGAGGTTAATTACTAATTTTAAAGTGAGATCACATGACTCATCACCCAGATTTATAATAAGAATATTAGCAGCTTGCTTGATGCCCATGTTTTAAGTACCTTGCAGTATAAACTCATTTACTCAAAATAACTTTGGGGAACCAGCAGTTAGCATAATGGCTATGTCACTGGACTCCCACGTAGTCGACCACGGTTCGCATCCCGGACCCAGTGGCTTAAAACTCACACTGGGCGCATGTGTGTGCGTGCCCAAGATCCCGAGAGGAGAATGGAGGAGAAGGGATTGCGGCGTGACCATCCCCCCTGGGGGCTGATTTCTCACTTTCTGTCTCTATGTCTCTCTCTGTCTGTCTGGCGAGTGCACGCGCCCGATAGCGAAAAAAACTCTCAAAAAAAAAAACTTTGAAAAATAGGTATTATTTCCAGCTTTTGAGTGAGAAAATTGGCATGTAGCTGTCAAGTAAATTAATGAGGAAGGAGCAGAGCTAATACACTAAATGCAAGCAATCTCACTGCAGAGGTGACACACTGAACCATTATGTAATGCTATGTCAGATTCTCAAACCTTACACGTGCCTTAACTAATAATCTTAAACAGATATTCCTAAACAGAAGTCGGTGAGTTAATACCATGGATTTGATTTGGACCTCTTATTTTTTTTAATTCTATACTTTCCATGGATTGAGAATTTACTTAGCCAATAAAGGAAGCAAATTTATCACTATAGTCACACTGAGGCTATCTCAGGCAAAGCATTTTGTTGTCTCCAGTTGAGTTGAGACGATCCAAGTGTAGTTTATGACTGTTAATGTTACTTCTCATTCAGAGCTATGGAATGTGGTAAAGGACCACAGGCTAGATAATCCCATATGGATTTTACTAGTACTAGCCATTGACACAAAGAACTGGGTGGGTCCTTGAGTGGCTATTCTTTGAATTCACATAGATCACATATATTCTTACACCATTTCTTTCTTCTGATTTGGATAGTTGGCCACTACAACCCCTGAGTAACAACATACTTCCATCATCTAGATCTGTATTACCCAATTGGATTCTTTATCATTCTTATGTTTCTGGGTAGACCATACTTTCTTTAGATACTATGATATAACCAATTGAATTATACTTTCCTCTTGTGCTAATCACAAGTTGTATTAATTACATACTATTTTCACATTCACGTTACTAGAAAATTAAAAATACCATGTAGATAATTTAGTTCAGTCAATCTTTAAACGTACAGTTACAGAGATCTGCCCTGTCAAACATTAGACCTACGTACTATGAGTGAGAAGATGATAAGTAAGTCCAGGTCTTTGACTGTCAAGGCAGCCTTCACTGCAGTGTTTCTCTAAGTGTATTCCCAAGAACTGTTTGCATAAGAATCGCATGAGATGCTTGTTAAAATTGCCTGTGTTTTATAGTTATCTCAAATCTTTTAAATTGAACCCTTGAAGAAAAGGGCTAAGAATATTTAAATTTTAGAAGTTTCCAGAGAAACTTTTCCTTCCTGCAAATTCTGAGTAATTATTTTTTGTTTGTTAGTTTTTTGGGGGAGAGGTTTGTGCTATAGGGCACATGTGCTTGCCAGAAAAACAGAGACAGACAGAAAATGAGAAATCACCCTGCAGGGGGGATGGCCATGCTGCAATCCCTTCTCCTCCATTCTCCTCTCGGGACCTTGGGCACGCATGCACGCACACGCACCTGGTGTGAGTTTAAGCCACCAGATCTGGGACTTGAACCACAGTTGACTACATGGGATCCAGCGACACAGCCATTATGCTGACTGCTGGTCCCCAGAGTAATTCTCATACCTACTAAAGATCGGGAACTAATTATGTACAGCCTTGTAGATGAGAAAAGAAACTCATATAACATATAATTAAAATGATATATGATACTGGTTTTGCTGTATTGATTTGTATTTTCTGACAATGGTTAGATAACAGCATTGATGGTTTCTTAAGGTCATCAGTGTTTATGAATAAAATTATGGAATCCAGTATTTTCTTCTGGTTGTGACAAAAATTTTGTATCGTTTATATGATAGGTTTTTTTTTTCTTATTACAAATATTGAGATGGTTTTTCATGGAGTTTTTTGGCTATTTTATTTATTTTTCAGTAGTGTAGTTTTTTTTTTTTAAGAGAGATTTTTTTTCTATAGGGCACTTGCTCTTGCCAGAGAGACAGAAAGCGAGAACTCACCCCCCCACCCCAGGGGGGATGGCCACATCCCAGCCCCTTCTTCTCTCAGAAGAGGGCACACAGGCATATGCGTCCAGTGTGAGTTTTAAGCCAGAGGGTACAGAACTCAAACTGCAGTCAACTACATGGGAGTTCAACAGCGTAACCATTACACCATCTATGGGTCCCTGATAGTGTAATTTTTAATTGATACTTAAAAAGAAAACTTAAAGTCAGAAGTTTAACTTGCTTGAGTATTATAAATGTTATCAAACTGCGTGTTAAGAATCTAGTAATCTAAAAGTTTAATATGCATAAGGCATGTTTTGGTCTTTTTTTTTTAATTTTTTTTTTACCTATGTCATTTTAGCAATTAACAGACCAGATATCACAGACACGGAAATGGAAACCGTTATGGACACTATTGTTGATAGCCTCTTCTGCTTTTTTGTTACACTGGGTAAGTTTTTAAATCTTTCTGGTTATTTTTTAAAGTGAGTTATTTAACAATTCATTTTAATAAATTATACTGTAAAATGATTTTTTTTCCACCTATCTTGGACTCTAGAGGATCTGCAAAGTTGATGTAAAATCTACACTTAGTACTATATGAAAACAGAGACTTAAAAATAAAAAACAAAACAGGGACTAGCAGATGGCGTAATGGTTACGTCACTGGACTCCCACGTAGTTGCTTACTGTTCGAGTCCTGGACCTGGTGTCTTAAAACTTAGGCTAGGTACATGTGTGTGTGTGCCCAAAATCCCTAGAAGAAAATAGAGACAGGATTATGGCGTGGGCATTCCCCCCAGGGATGATTTCTTGTTTTCTGTCTCTTGTCTCTATAAAAAGAAAATTCTATGTAAAAACAAAATTCTTCTAACAACTTGATGTGGTTATTCCTCTTGAGTTAGCGTTTAACATACACTACTGAGTGGTCTCCTCAGATGTTTTGGCATTGTCATTTTCCTTTTTTATTTCTAGGATATATAGTTTGAATAGGTTGGTGACTTTAACTATGTGTTTGCTCTTTTCTTTTTTTTTTTTTAGTCATTATGAAAATTTTTAAATGTGCCTCTAGTAGAAAGAGAGATGCCTGGTAACTTAAGGCAAAATGTCAAAGACTCCAGAAAACACTAAATTTACATATAAAACTAATTTACCTGTATTCTCATAATTTAAAGCATTTCTTTGTATCCTCTAAAATTACTTATAGTTACATCATATTTAGTATCTAATATATGACTGTTGTACTGTGAATAATTGGTCTGTTCAGAAACTTAGTTAGTTTTAATTTTGCTGGGTCCAGCAGTTAGCGTAATGGCTATGTCGCTGGACTCCCACGTGGTCGACCGCGGTTCGCGTCCCAGACCCAGTGGCTTAAACTCATGCCGGGCGCGTGTGCGTGCGTGCCCAAGATCCCGAGAGGAGAATCGAGGAGAAGGGATTGTGGCGTGGCCATGCCCCCTGGGGGGTGATTTCTCGCTTTCTATCTCTCTGTCTCTGTTTGTCTGGCGAGCACACGCTCCCTATAGCAAAAGCCTCTCCAAAAAAAAAAAAATAGTTTTAATTTTGCTGACATTTAACACCTTTTAAAGTTTATTTATGTGCATGTGTGTATATATATATTTTTTTTTTTTTTAGATAGAGAGAGATTTTTGCTATAGGGCATGTATGCTAGCTGGAGAGACAGAGAGTGAGAAATCATCCACTCCAGGGGGAATGGCCATGCCACAGTCCCTTCTCCTCCGTTCTCCTCTCAAGATTTTGGGTATGTGTGTACATGCACCTGACATGAATTTTATGCCACCAGGTCTGGGACTCGAACCACAACCAACTACGTGGGAGTACAGTGACATAACCATTATGCCATCTGCTGGTACCAAAGTTGATTTTTTATGAGACAGACAGACCCCTGTAGTAGGGTCTTCATGCCAGGACTTACCCTGAGACTCAGCTGGCTTGTGCTGTTATCACAGGCACAGTGAGCCCATCAAGCTCAGGGAGGTCCAGTTGTGTTACTAGTGTGCCAATTCATGGACCTACACATAAAACTATTTATTTAAAATGATCCACAGTTTAGATTAATAAAATCTCCACTTCAAAAGTGAGAAAATCAAGGAAGAAAGATCATGCATAATTTAGGATTTCAATAAGTATTTGAGAGTGGTGCAACAGCTTAACGCATGATGCTCTATGAGGCGATCCCACGTGGATAGGTTTCCAGTGCAAGTTCAGTGACCTCCCTGAGTACACCAGTCACATGCACACCCGTGTGGCTGTAGCTGGGGGTGGATCATGGCATCAGTACCCTATTAGGCATGCTGTCTCTCTTGCTCATAGAAGGAAAAAATTAACTTTAAAAATGGTGCTTCCTCCTTTCAGCGGTTTTTCCTTTTATTTCCCTGAACTCCAATCTTTGATTCCTTACCTCAGTAAGTCTCCTGTTTTCTGTTTGATCTCTTTCGATGTCCCATGCATAGGTGAAAGTACTCTGAGGGGAAAAGTTGATTAAAAATAAATGCTACTTTATGTGATTCTATTCCTTCCTGTTTCTGCTTGTTTTCAAATGTTCTCAATGTCCTCAGATAGGTTGGGTGTTTTGTTTTGTTTTAAAGAAAACATATGTATACAACTTTTAATCATTATAATTTTTTTTTCTATTTTGCCATTCCCATATTCTTCAAAATTTTGACAAGAGGTAGGGTTATTGTGAATATTAAGGCTATTTTTTGCTGGGTGATATATTTTCAAAGTAAGGATAGATTGAAGAGAGACATAAAAAAACGTCACTAAAGTGTTATTAGAGCTACCTTTATTATGTATAGCACATGGGGAAGTAATTTTATTTTTCAAAGAAAAATTGAAATTACTGCTAATCTGATATAGAAGGATGTCAACACTAATTGTTAAAAGAAAAATGTTTTGAAACTGTTTTTTACACTCTTATTAAACTATATTAGAAAACAGTCCAAAAACAACCATTTCTAAATCTTTTTTTTATTATTTTTTTTATTTAAATTTTTTGTTATAGGTCTCCTGCACTTACCTGAGAGAGAGAAAGCAAACCTCCATGTCCAAGACTTAAACCACAGTGGGCTATGTGGGAATCTAGCACCTTAACCACCAAGTTATCTGCTGGCCCTGTCCATTTCTAATTCTTTTTTTTTTTTTTTTTTTGAGAAAGATTTTTGCTATAGGGTACTTGCACTTGCCAGAGAAACAGAAAGTGAGAAATCACCCTCCCTGGGGGATGGCTATGCCACAACCTCCTCTCCTCTTGGAGTTTTGGCACACACACACACATGTGCCTGGTGTGAGTTTTAAGCTACCAGGTCTGGGACTTGAACTGTGATTGACTACATGGGAGTCCAGCAGTGTAATCGTTAGATGCCATCTGCTGGTCCCCCCTTTTCTAATTCTTTTTTTTTTTTTGAAGACATTTTTCGCTATAGGGCGCGTGCGCTCACCAGAGAGACACAGAGAGACAGAAAGTGAGAAATCATACCCCAGGGGAGATGGCCATGCCGCAATCTCTTCTCCATTCTCCTCTCGGGATCTTGGGCACGTATGCACACGTGCCCGGCGTGAGTTTTAAGCCGCTGGATCTGGGATGCGAACCACAGTCAACTACATGGGAGTCCAGTGACATAGCCATTACGCTAACTGCTGGTCCCCCCCTTTTCTAATTCTTAATGGAGATTATTCTGGGGGTTTGAAATCGAGGTCAAATTTAAAACATTTCTAATATTTAATTTTCTTATGGCAAGTATTTATTACTCTTGCCAACAAAAGAAAACAGTTTTTAAAAAAATTTTAATATCCCATATTTTTACTTTTGTAAATGATGGACTTTGTTGTAGAATCTAAAATGCAACAATTTCAGCATATAAAGTTACAGTGTTGACCCAGCCTAGGTGCAGCAGTTCCTAGCATACTGGACTACAGTGCTGGAAACAACATGGCCACCTGCAGGTTCAGATCTGGAGGTTGGAAAGCATATTGGGTACATATGCTGGCACCCAAGGTTCTGAAGAGCTGGAGGGCTGGGGAAATAGGATTGTAGCATAACACAACCTGTCAAGGATGCTGCTCTCTGTAGAGAAGTCTGTCTCTTTCTCGTGCACATGCAAACACTATCATGTAAAAGCAAAGATTACAGTGTTCGGGTTTATGAGATTTTTTTTTTTTTTTTGAGAGGTTTTTGCTGTAGGGGGCGTGCACTCACCAGAGAGAGACACAGAGACAGAGACAGAGAGATAGAAAGCAAGAAATCACCCCCCAGGGGTCATGGCCACGCCACAATTCCTACTCCTCCATTCTCCTCTTGGGATCTTGGGCACGCACACACACGTGCCTGGCATGAATTTAAGCCACCGGGTCCGAGACTTGATCCGCGGTTGACGATGTGGGAGTCCAGCAACATAGCCATTACACTAACTGCTGGTCCCTATGAGATTTTTTTTTAGTGCGTTTAATTTTTTCTGTTTTGGGACTTCAGCCTTTGATAAAACTTACTGGAGTAATAAAGAGAGAAATTATGAAGTTTCAGGAATTTATTTGATAAGTTCAGGCCAGCGTTTAGGAGCATTTCAGTTTATGAGGAATGGTTTTCTGTTATCTTTAAAATCAGTATATTTTTTAAAAAGACTAAACTGCTTCGTTGTTAATTTGTAAAATAAAAAATAGGAATTCTAAACTGCTAAGTCAACTAAATTCTTTTCATTCTTTTTTTATCAAATTAAAGTAAATTCTGTGATTAGAATATAAACTTATTCTGTGAAAAATCCTACACGGAATTCTTTGGAAGTGCCTACTTGGAGGGTCAAAAGTGTCGATTTGGTCCATTGAAAAAAGTTCAGTCATGCTGATCAGCTGCATATAAAAATAATTTTCTTCTGGCCTTCTAATGTTTTATTAGTGGGGAAATTCATTGTTGAAACCTTGCTTTCACTCTTGAGATTATTATTTTTTTGATGTTTATAGCCTGAAATTATATACATCTGTTATTTTTTTGGTGCTCATGTATTTCGTAAGTACCCATTTTGATTAAGAACCAAGATTTATTGCTAACATTCATTGTTAAAATAGGTGCTGTTCCTATAATCAGATGCTCAAGAGGAACAGCAGCAGAAATGGTAGCAGTGGTGAGTTCATGCAAGTATCACTTGGGAATAAATAACATTGTGCAAATTGTTTTACCACAAGCACCTTAAGTGTTTTTGTTAAAAAATGTATTGGGACAGCCAGTGGCGTGGGGTTAAAGGAGCTGGATCCCAGATGGCCAACTGTGTGGTTCAAGTCCTGGACCCAGCAGCTTGGAAAAAAAACACCAGTACTTGGTTTTTTTTTGAGAGGTTTTTGCTATAGGGTGCGTGTGCTTGTCAGACAGACAGAGAGAGACAGAGAGACAGAAAGCAAGAAATCACCCCCCCCCCCCACAGGGGTGGCCACGCCCCACTCCATTCTCCTCTCGGGATCTTGGGCATGCATGCACATGCACCCGGCATGAGTTTAAGCTACCGGGTCCGGGACTCGAGCCGCAGTCAACTACGTGAGAGTCCAGCGACATAGCCATTATGCTAACTGCTGGTCCCAACACCAGTACTTGTGAGTGAGTGCCGAAAATTCCAAGAGGAGAATGGAAGAGAAGGGATTATGGCGTGGCCTTCCCCTCCTGGGGGAGTGCTTTCTCACTTCCTCTTTCTTTCTTTCTGTGTGTCACTCTGTCTCTCGCCCAGGAAACGCATGTACCCTATGGCAAAAAAAATTTAAATTAGTAATAATGGTAACAAGTGTACATCTGCTATTGGTTATATATTAACTACCAATGGGAGATATTTTTTATTTTATTCTACCAAAGATAAGTAATCATTGTGTATTTCTTTGCAATAAAGTAAAATTATTTACTCTAGTGTGCTATTCTAGCTTTCTTTCTTTTTTTAAAACATATTCCTCATTCAACCTTGTCTTTCCAAGTAGTATTTATTTGATTCCCCAGATCATTCATATTAAACTTTATTTAGCAAATAGTTGCTACCAGTTATAACATTTTTAAATGATGAAGTGCATTTTGCTATCTCATTATTATTGATGTCAGATAAAGCATTTCCTGCTCTTAAAGTAAAATTAGTCAACAAAAAGTGCTAATTAGTGAAATCAGGGTTGAGTCACAGTAGAAAAAGCACTGATCTTTTTCAAGTCTAAGTTATTATTTAAAATTGCCATTTTGTAAAGAAATTCTGGATTTTTTGGTTATGGAACTAGGAACACATTATGTGTTACCCTACATAAAGTTATATGTAACCATTCTTCAAGAGTTCATCTAAAATTTGATTTTTCAGAAACTAGATAAGAAACTTCGGGAAAATCTGAGAGATGCAAGAAACAGTCTTTTTACAGGTGATACACTTGGAGCTGGCCAATTCAGGTATGATGTTGCTTTCATTTAAGTACTTATAGAACGTGGAAAGAAAACATTTGTAGAGATTTTTTTGTAATTAAAATTTATTTCTTGGGAACCAGCAGTTGGCGTAATGGCTATGTCGCTGGACTCCCACGTAGTCGACCGCGGTTCGCCTCCCGGACCTGGTAGCTTAGAACTCACGCCCGGCGCGTGTGCGTGCGTGCCCAAGATCCCGAGAGAAGAATGGAGGAGAAGGGATTGTGGTGTGACCATCCTCCCGGGGGGTGATTTCTCGCTTTCTGTCTCTCTGTCTGTCTGTGTCTGTCTGGCGAGCGCACGCTCCCTATAGCGAAAACCTCTCCAAAAAAAAAAAAAAAAATTTTTTTTTCTTGTATTTATCCTTATTATTAAAATTTATTTCTTTTTAATGAGGTAATCAGGATCAGGGTTTTGACTCAGATTTTCCATGAAGTATAAATAGAATGTGTATTTTGGAATATGACATTTTACAGTCCTGAACGACATAACAATGTTTCAGACACTGACAGACTGCACATACAGTGGTGGTCCCGTAAGGAGTATAGGCTGTTTGTGTAGATTAGGTGGTAGAAGGCGGTACCATCTAGGTTTGTGTAGGTACGCTGTCGTGTTCACATAGTGACAACATTGTCCAGCAATGTCTTTCTCCTGTCCTTGTTGTTAAGTAGCATTTGACGTTATTATACCTTCTTTTGGTATAAATTTCTGTTAAAGTATATTATCCAACATAAGAGATAAGTCTATGAAATTCAGAAGACATTTCTCTTCAATTATTATTAAATCTCTTGATAATTAAAGTGAAAAATTTGTGATACTTATATTTGTTTCTACCTTTATTATCTAATTTCCATTTTTTTCATTGAGATACTGATAGCCTTTGGACAACATTTTTGTCATTTTTAACATTTTTTTTCTTAGATTATTACTATAGGGTGTGTGCGCTCGCTAGAGAGACAGAAAGCGAGAAATCACCTCCCCCCCCCCCCAGGGAGATGGCCACGCCGCCATCCCTTCTCCATTCTCCTCTTGGGATTTTGGGCACACATGCACGTGCACCTGGCATGAGTCCAGGACTCAAATCGTGGTCAGCTATATGGGAGTCTAGTGATGTAACCATCATGTCATCTGCAGGTCCCAATATTTCTAATATGTGTAGATAATTCTAAAATTGTTGGTTGTCTAATTATATTAAATAGAAATACATTTAAAAAAAGGACCTTCTATATTCTTTAACTTTTAATTATTGATAGTAATAGAAAATATCAGAATAAAGTATTGGGTAATCAGAAAGCTCATGATGTATTTTTCTTTGTTTTTCTACACGAAAATGTGTCATGATTTTCCAACAACCCAATAGTAAAGAAACCTATCAAATCTCTGAAAATATTTAAAGAGGTGACTGTATGTTAGAAGATGAATTCTTCCAGTTTAGGTGAATTAATAAATATAGCCTATGAAAATAAATTAATACTCACAGAAATAACTGTCTTCTAGGAAGACTACATTCTTTTTTTTTTTTTTTTTTTTTTTTGGAGAGATTTTCACTGTAGGGCACGTGTGCTCGCCAGACAGACAGAGACAGAGAGACAGAAAGCGAGAAATCACCCCCCGGGGGGATGGTCACGCCGCAATCCCTTCTCCTCCATTCTCCTCTCGGGATCTTGGGCACGCACGCACACGCACCCGGCATGAGTTTTAAGCCACCAGGTCCGGGACACGAACCGCGGTCGACTACGTGGGAGTCCAGCGACATAGCCATTACGCTAACTGCTGGTTCCCGGAAGACTACATTCTTTATAAATACTCATACACTTCATTCCACGTCAATTTTGATTAACTCCTACAACCTTATATTCCATTCATATACTTTTGAATTCATACTAAGATTGTGTTTCAATTATTGGGTTAACTGTCTTAGCTCCCACATTATTTTAAATTGTTCTGCGATTTCATTACTGATTTTAATATTTTTTAAATGTTTTTCACACTTTAAGTAGAGCAGAAACTTCCAGTTTTCACTTGAAAATCACTTGCAGCAGATGTCCTATCTTACTTAATAGTTCCCTTTTTAGTGCTCTGATATAGATTTTGGAAACCAATATAAAGCCAGTAACTTTTATTTGAATAGTAATTTTTCTGTTTTTAATTTTCCAGAAGGCATTTGAGCTCACCAGAGAGAAAGAGGGAGGGGTAGGGAAAAAGCAACCCCTAATGAAACATGGTTATATCACAATCCCTTTTCTTCTATTTCTCCATCTTGTCAGGATTTGCACACATATATGGATCCAGCATGTTTCTCAAGCCACTGTGGCCAGGATTTGATCTACACAGCCTTGTGGGATTGGGCTCCTTTAACCACCAGCCATGGAGCCAACTCTATTTGGATAATCTTTAAAAATTTGTTCACATCATAATAGTCTTATTTATTAATTTGCTGGATGTATTTCTCAATTATTTTAATAAGGAGTTGGCACCCTGTTGAACTACTGTAGGATGTATTTGAATCTAACCATCTACTAGTGAGTCTCAACCAGGGCAGTTTTTGCTTCCCACAGATAATATGGTACTGTGGAGACATGTTTGATTGTCACAGCTGGGTAGATGCTACTTGAATCTAGTGAAGTCCTTTGTAGGCTGCTGCTAATGCACATCCTCTTACTGCACAGGTAACCTCCTATAATGAGGAGTTATCTAGTCCCAGAAGTCAATAGTGCTAAGGTTACACAACCCTACCATTAGTCATCTTTCCTAGCCTCACCTAGCTCTGGAATAACAAATCATGATAAGTGGTGAAGGTGTCACTCTCCCTTCATTCCAGAGTCAGTGTACTTAAGAAGATCTACTATTCTGTATCCAGAAGGATGCAGTGAGTCACTCAAATAGTCAGAGGTCTCTTGCAGGAGGAAATATGTGTAGGTAATAAAATCAGATGACAGTGCCTTTGGAAAATTTTGTATGTCCTCCTGATAAATAGTGTCTCTAAAGCAGATCTCTAAAGCTTCTATAGAAATGTGGTAACCAAATGACTTTGTGCCTCCATTTGCTTTAAATGTAGTCTGATCCACATTTAAATTGTAATAATAGAGTGAAACAGTACACAGCGTGTCATGTGCTTTTTCTGTTAAGTGAATAATTATATAGGTATCATTGTGGCAAGTTTTTATTTATGTTTTTCATTTTGTGTATTATAATGGGATGGAGTTTTTTGAGTCTCTTTGAGTCTGCTCTTATTAATTTGTACTTACAGGAAAATTTATAATTTGTCATTTATGAAACTGTCAGACACCTGTACAAATTAAATACTCCTATCTCTTTGTTTTCCCTGAAGCTGAAAACAACTATTCCTTTTTGCTTTTTTACAGAAATGTAAAATGGAGATCTGAATAGAAGCAGCTCATTATTGTAACTGCAGAAATTATTCTATAAAAATTCTTGTATAAATTGATTCCTTTAAGAATGTTCCCTAAGCAAAACTTACAATCTGACATTACACACAAGTTAAGTGGTCAAAAATATGACCATATTTGGGGACCAGCAGTTAGCGTAATGGCTATGTCACTGGACTCCCACATAGTTGACCACGGTACAAGTCCCGGACCCAGTGACTTAAACTCACACCGGGCACGTGTGCGTGCATGCCCAAGATCCCGAGAGGAGAATGGAGGAGAAGGGATTGCGGCGTGGCCATCCCCCCCCGGGGGAAGGGTGATTGCCTGCTCTCTGTCTCTCTGTCTCTCTGTCTCTCTCTCTCTCTCTTTCTGGTGAGTGCACGCACCCTGTAGCAAAAGAAAATAATTCTCCCAAGACATGACCATATCTGACCATAATTGAAAAATGTTTTTAAAAGCAAAGTTTGATGGAGTGTCTATGTTATAATACTAGTGTTCATATCAAAAAGGCATATACTGGAAAGTTTTAGAAAATTTTAGGTATATATAAGAGTTACATAATTTTTTTTATAATAATTACAGCTTCCAAAGGCCTTTGTTAGTCCTTGTTGACAGAAACATAGATTTGGCAACTCCTCTTCATCATACTTGGACATATCAAGCACTGGTGCATGATGTACTGGTAAGAGCTAAATATAGCATTTATTACTGAAATGTAGTAGTGTGCTATGGTCCCCTTAATTTGTAATTGACATTATAGCTGCAAAAATAAAGATGAGAAGGTTAGAACTGAAAACTATGAACAGAAAAAGCAATGGGATTTTATATCACTATAGATAGATGCTGGAGAATAGTGAAACATTAAAGTTTAAAGTTCTACATTTAGATCTTTAAATTACATGATTAATTAGTATTGTTGGCAGTGATAGGAAAAAAGGAATGAAGAAAATGAGCTTTTTTTTTTTCCCACATATACTGAATAAGTAAACTTGTTCTCTTTGAGGAGAAAAGCTATAATCTCTTCCTTTCTGGGAGTCATTTGAACTTCATTTTATGATAAATATAAATAGTATTTTTTATCTTATATCATGTTTCCTGAAGTAATTCTGCATACTTAATTGCCATGCTTATGACAACAGTTTGTATTTATTCATACATATATTCATATTTTAAATATTGTATATAGCATAGGATATGTACATATAATAAAAGCTATCCCAGTCTTCAAAGGCACTGAAAGGAAATTAAGTACACAAATAATTTCTCTACAGGATCCTATGTAATAGAGCCAGAATATTCTCCACTTTATAGATAAAATAATTGAGACACAGAAGTTAAAAAAATCTTGAACCCAAATTATTGGCTCTGTGAACCTGCAACTCTTATTTTAATAACTCCTAACCTAGGCCTTTAGGGATTAAAGTATGTAATAGTGTTGTTATTGCAAAGATCACCTGAAATGTGATAGAAAAAGGAAATGAAAGACATGTGATAGGTGATTCAGTTTGACAGTTTCTTTAAAACCTGGACATTAGCTCTAAAGTGTTTATTTCAATAACTCGGATTTAGTTTCAGTGATAGAAATTAGCAGTTCTACATACTTTTTTATCCTAGAGCCCTATGCCATGACCCAAGGATGCATTTCAAGGAAATAGTCATCAACTCCTATTCAGTAGAGAGGTCAAGAAGAATCAAAGAGACCTGAATAATAGCATACAGAAGCTGGTTTTAGGATGTCAGATTAAAAGTCTTGATGGGAGGAGTTCAGTTTAACCAGTATTTGAGTGCTTGCTTTTTCAAAGACATTCTAGACCGTGGTTTCAGCAATAACAAAAACAAAAGTATTTCTGTCTTTCTGGAGCTTATGTTCTAGTAGTAGAGACAGGTAGTAAATAAAATAAAACATGTAACATTTCAGAAGGTGGAAAGTACTCTGGAGAAGAACAGCATAAGTAATGGTGGACAGGATTGAAATTGAAATTTTAAAACAGGAAAGACCTCACAGATAAAGTGACATTTAAGGAAAGATATAAAGGAGATAAGGTAGTGAGTGAATTGTACAGCTATATAAGAAAAGAATATTCTAGGCAGAAGGATATATAATATGTGTGAAAGATGGCAAGATGGTCATAGCGAAGTGAGGCAGGAATGTGAGCAGAAGGAGATAAGTTTAAGTAGGACAGGGAAGGCAGTATGGTACTGGGCACTATAGGACATTGTAAGGACAGTGACCTTTAATTTGAGGGAAATGACTACATGCAGGTTTGAGTAAAGGGGTGACATCTGGTTGGTATACATTTTTAAACTACCATTCTAGCTGTTATGTTGGAAATAAATTTGTGGAGGGCATCAGAAGAACAAGATAAGTTAGGAAGCCATTAAAATTGTCTTAATAAGAGATGATGGTAGTTTACACCAGGACATAAATGGTAAGTACTCTGATTTCTGTTAATGTAGGTTATAAAATTTGCTAATGAACTAGATGTAAGACCTAAAAGAGTAATCAAAGATGATTTTCAAGTTTCAGTGTTTGCAAACAAAGAGACAGTGAAAGACCAGCTTTAGGGGAAGATTGGGTATTTTGTTTTGGACACATTAAATGTGATATGCCTGTTAAGATATCCAAGTATAGATATTGAGTAGGTAGTTACATATGTGAGTTTAGAGTTCAGGAGTAAAATATAGTTAAGAGGAATGATTTAAAAGTAGTCCATATACAGATTGTATTTAAAACCAAGAAATAAGACAAGATCACCAATGCAATGAGTATGGATAGAAAAGAGGTCTAAGAACTGAACTTTGAGGCATTTCATATTTAGAAGTCAGGTTGATGAATAGGAACCAGGAATGTGGGAAGAAGCAGCCACTGAGATATAAGAACTAGATCTGTGCTATTCTAAAAACTAGTGAATTCAGTGCTTCAAGGAGGAAGCAGGGATCAACTGAGGACTGAGAAGTCACAATTACATATGGTAATACCAAGGTTGTTAGTGGGGTAGAAACAGTAGTTTGCATAGTAGTGAAAGAACAAAACTGTGAAGGGAGAACCCCAAAACTTACAACCAACTGATTTTTTTGACAAATTAATCCAGTGGGAAAAGGAAAACGTCTTTAGCAAATGGTGCTGGAAAAACTGGGTATCCACCTGCAAAAAGGTGAAAGTGAATCCACATTTTTCACCATTAACAAAAATCAACTCAAAATGGATGAAAGATCGGAACTTAAGACCTCAAACTATAAAACTACTGGTGGAAAACACTGGGAAAACTCTTGGAAACATTGGGATAGGCAAAAACTTCTTAATTAAGTCTCCCAAAGCATAAGCAACAATCCCTAAAATAGACAAGTGGGACTATGTCAAATGAAGTTTCTGCACAGCAAAGGACACAGTAACAAGTGTGAACCGACAACCCTCAGAACGGGAGAATATTTTTGTAACTATGTCTCAGATAACAGACTGATAATCAGAATACTTAGGAAATTCAAGCAGCTTTTGGGGGGAGGGGAGATGAGTAACCCAATTAAAAGATGGGAAAATGAGCTAAACAAAAATCTCTCTAAGGAAGACATACGAACGTCCAAAAACCATGAGGAAATGCTCAACATCCCTCATCATAAGGGAGATGCAGATTAAAACCACAATGAGATGCCACCTAACCCCTTAAAAATACAAAAATGTTACTTGGTGGTGGGGTTGTGGTGAAAGGGGAACTCTCCTACATTGTTAATGGGAATGTAAATTGGTCCAACCACTATGGAAAACAATATGGTGGTTCCTCAAAGATCTACAAATAGAACTGTTTGGTCCAGCAGTCTCACTTCTGGGTATCTACCCAAAGGGCAGGAGAATGCTTAGTCAGAAAAGCGCTTGCACCTCAATGTTTATTATGGCATTATTCACAATTGCTAAGTAATGGAACCAAACCAAATGTGCTTAAACAGATGAATGGATTGAAAAAGTGTAGCACATGTACTCTATGGAATACTATTCAGCCATAAAAAATAAGACCCTGGCATTTGGTAGAAAGTGGTCGAATATGGAAGATTTATTGTTCAGTGAAACAGACCAGGCTATGAGAGAAAGATATTGTATGTATCCACTTAAAATATACCTACTACCCACACTCTATGGTAGAGATTGAAATATTAGAGGACATAAAAGCAGTGAAAATAGTTACTTATGCTGAAGACAGTGTTGAATTGGGGGATGGAAGGAAGGGAAGAGTACAGAGAAGGAAACCAGGAGAAAAAATAGACATGACATTTGTGGGACACAGAAATGGTTTATTACCTATTAATAGTAACATATATAGTATTCTCAGCTGGACTGGTCTGAGAAGTATTTCATGTTAGGTAAATTATCTTTACAAGCCAAACGATGTGTAGCAATTTAATTTTAAATAATTTTAAAAATGAAATTACAAAAAAAAAAAACCAGCAATTGGGGGGTTGAGATTAGGGAGAGAAATATATTAGTGAATCTAGTCAACCCTCAAAAAATTTTTCTGTAAAGGAGAGGTGAGGAAGAGTGATTACTGGAAAGATGTGAGGTCAGAAAAGTCATTCATTTGTTCATTCATTTTTGCTGAGTTAGACAGAAAGGGTAAGGGAGAAAGCACCCCCTATGGAGAATGGTCATGCCACAGTCTCTTCTCCATTTCTTTATCCTGTCAATATTTTGACAGATTGCACACATGCTTAATGTGTTTCTCAAGCTACTAGGTCTGGGATTCAAACTGCAGGGTCAGCCGTGTGGGATCCTGCTCCCTTAGCCACTAGGCCACAGAGCCAGCACAAAAAAGCTTTTAAATGACATCAATCACAGCATGTTTGTGTCCCAATTGGAATAATCAAAAGAGAAAAGTTAATGATAGAGGAGAAAGAGTTATCCACATTGAATAACAGGCCAAGATTTCTCAACTGGGCTTCACTGGAGTTAGGGACCTGATCATTCTTTGTTGTGGTAGACTGCCTGTGCATTGTAGGGTATTTAGGATCATCACTGACCTCGATTCTCAAAGTGCAAGTAGTGCTCCCTCATTTGTGCCAGATATACTCTAGAAGAAAGGAAAAGACAAAATTGCCCACAATAGAGAACTGTTATAAGCCTGTGACATGAGTTTGAAAGCTAGAGTTGTTTTGGGGAAGAGGACAAGTGAAAGGTTTGGGAATAACAATTAAGACACCTAATCCCAATGTTACAAGCTGTGTGAGAGGTTGAAAAACATCGTTACCATCTGAGAAACTGCAGTAGAGAGCCATTGTGGGGGTGGGGGATACACACACACACACACACACACACACACATATGTATATACATATATTTATATGTATAGGAAGCTTAGAGGAGATTTTCAAAATAAAATGTTTTACGGATGACTAGACAGAAGGATTTCAGCAATTGGATAAGACAGTAGATAAAATCTGAATGGGGGTAAAGCTCAGTCCAGAGATTAATGGGCATAACGAGACAGCCTTTTTTGTTTGTTTTTGAGAGACTTTTTTTTTTGCTATAGGGCTCATGTGCTTGCTGGAGAGACAGAGATAACAGACAGAAAGTGAGAAATCCCCCCGGGAGATGGCCATGCTGCAATCCCTTCTCCAGTCTCCTCTCGCAATTTGGGGTATGCATGCCCTTGAGTTCAGTGTGAGTTTTAAGCTGCTAGATCCAGCGCTTGAACC